TTCAGCAGGACGGTTACAATGGAAGCAGGATGGTGACAATGGAAGAAGACACTTTTTATGTCTTAAGGAAGACCCACCAATGGACACTGCAGCCTCCCCAGGGTGCTGCAGTGTGGAATTGGAGCAAGTTCCATGATTTGTATCCATATCTTTGGGGCTGGAACAACCCTGAGTTTTGAGGACTGTGCAGAAAGATAGTAGAAATGGCCGACTGCCTTATCATTCCTCTTGACCCAAACTTCCCATAGCTCAATTTGAGGCTCTCAGAGAAACAAAACGGTTGTTTTAAATCAAAACTTATTGATTTAAATAGTAAATCTGCAGAGGAGGAAGATACACCAGGTAGAATTTACATCTTGATGGTACAATTCAAAACATTCCTGGAGAAACAGAATTGAGAGATACATTTATTTTTTTTTATCTTTTATTTAATGAATATAAATTTCCAAAGTACGACTCATGGGTTACAATGGCTTCCCCCCCCCCATACCATCCCTCCCACCCACAACAACCCTCCCCTTTCCCACTCCCTCTCCCCTTCCATTCACATCAAGATTCATTTTCGATTAGAGAGATACATTTATTTTAATGCAAAAACACTTTTTAAATCCATGCATAATTTTCCCACAAGATGTATTTTCCATGAACTTATAAAAGATCACTCTATGCATGGATTTCAAAAATAATTTTGCACAAAAATAAACTTATCTTTTAATTCTATTTCCCATGAACTTTTTGAAGTACTGTTATATGACAGCCATGAATTTGACAGAATTCACACCCCTATTGCTTTTCTGTAAGAAACCTTGCTTCTCTCCTTTGAGAGTAGTAGGACTATTTCTATTTGAAAACAAACTTCCCATTCCTCCATCCAAACTTTAAAAATGTTTTACTGATGCAGATCATTCTGTCCTCTCAGCTGGTCACAGTAGGAAGTTTTTTGCTCCTCATCAGATAATGCAGCTCTGGTCTGTTTTAGTGTACGGATGGTTTGCTATAAAACAGCACAATGATGGTACAAATAAATAGGCACGGTTAACCGAGCACTCACCCTGTGAGCTAAATGCTTTATTTACATAATCTAAATCTCTCTACCACTGGGATAGGTACTATTATCTTTTTTTTTCCCTTTTTTAAAATTTATTTATTTGACAGGCAGAGTGGATAGTGAGAGAAAGAGACAGAGAGAAAGGTCTTCCTTTTGCCATTGGTTCACCCTCCAATGGCCGCCGCGGCCGGCGCACCGCGCTGATCCGAAGCCAGGAGCCAGGTGCTTATTCTGGTCTCTCATGGGGTGCAGGGCCCAAGCACTTGGGCCATCCTCCACTGCACTCCCTGGCCACAGCAGAGAGCTGGCCTGAAAGAGGGGTGCCTGACCGGGACTAGAACCTGGTGTGCTGGCGCCGCAAGGCGGAGGATTAGCCTAGTGAGCCACGGCGCCGGCTGGTACTATTATCTTTAATAGTTGTAACATCTGTCCTTTTACAAAAACATTTTTAAGTGTCTTTACTCTTTATTTGAAAGCCAGAGAGAGAGAGAGAGAGATCTCCCAACTGTTGGTTCACTCCCCAGATGACCACCGTGGCCCAGGCTGGGATGAGGCTGAAACCATGGACCTGGAACCCAGTCCAGGTGTCCTGTGTGGGTGGCAGTGATCCAACTGCTGGAACCATCGCTGCTGCCTCGCTGGGTCTGCATTAGCAGGAAGCTGGAATCACCAGTGGAGCTGGGTCTCAAACCTGGTCTGATATAGGATGCAGGTATCCCAGTCATTGTCTTTAACACTGTGCAAGTGTTCACTCTCTTCCATTTGACATAGATGCAGACAGTCTGAGGCTTGGCCCGATGAAGACGCTTTCCCAGGCTGCAGAAGGAGTTACGTGGGAAAGCTGGGAGGTGAAACAAAGCAGGCTGCAGTCTGTCCTCATGTAACTTTCCTTTTTCTGCAAGAAGATGTCTTAAAAATTCCCCAAGAGACCTTGAAAGCCACCTGGCATTGAAGATCACAGACAAATCCACTCAGGAATCCTGCGCTCAGCCATCTCCTGCAGTTTTTCTTGCGGTCTGAGACCTTGCTGGTGGCTCCTTTTGCTGCCAGTTGCTCCCCCCCGCCACCCACCTGGGGCAGATGTGCCCATCACTGTGTGTCCCAGGTGCCCGGGGAACATGGCCACAATTCCTCATTCTATTGTGGTTTTGTGGGACTTGGAAGGAGCTCCCAGCCTGAGGATTTTGGAAGCCAGGGTCATTCCTTGAGCCTGGAGAGAAAGGAGCTGTGTTTGGGCTTCTGGGCCTGGCTGGGGGCTGGGAGGCAGTGCCCATGTGCCTGCAGGGATACAATGGGCACTCTCAGTGCGAATATGGCCCCCGGGTCCTCTGAGCCCAGAGGTCAGATTATATTCCCTGAAACAAAGCTTTGGGCTTAGGCTCTTACTCATGCATTGGTTTTCCCCTCAGTAGCCGGAGCTGGGCTCTGTGCAGGCTCCAAGTCAGCCCCTCTACAGCCTGCGTGACTGCAGTGCCTGGCTCCAGTGGTGCAGTACTAAGCACAGCTTCAGGCACCATCCTGGGGGTAGGGGCACAGTCTTCACAGAGAGAGAAGCCAAGGGGCCTGGGAGTGTGTGGCTGCCTGGTCCCTGGGACAAATTTCCCCAGAGATGATTGTTGGCTAAGGAGGAGAAAGCCGCCAGCCAGACTCCATGAAGATGCTGCCGCTGATGAGGAAACATCCCTAGGAAATATTCCCTGCAGGGCTGACAGACCCTGCAGGGGTCAACGCCAAGTTTCCAGCAGCATTGCCCACTCAAGCCTCTGCAGGTTCCTAGAGGAGCCCTGGCCCAGGAGGGGGACGTTGGCCAGGTGTTTCTGACAGCGGAGAGCAGTCACTGCTGCAGCCACTGTAGGTCTGGGCTGCCTCACCAGAGCCCTCCAGGTTGGACATCAGTGTCCTGATTTCGTAGGTGGAGGTCAAAGAGCCAAGTCATCAGTTTGCATCAGACTGGCTGAGGATTCAAACCCAGGTCTATTTAGATTTCATTCTGTTTCACCATTGGGCTTTCTCAGAAGGTAGCACTGACCCAGCCCAAGACCTTGAACTTGGGGGAGCACCTGGGGTGGCATCCATGACCATGGGATCTTAGGAGTGGAATATGGTACTAGGTACAGGCAACAAGCGCAGTCCTTGCATAGGTCGTAGAGGTGAGCACCTCCCTCCTACAGCAGCCATTCCACTGGTAGGAAGAAGGAACCCTCTGTGTTGTCTTGTTCTTGTTTCTGCAACTGGGTCCACAGGAAAACAACTTATCTGGGTGAGAAATTAAGGTGTCTGGTACCATCCAAGAGCAGAAGGCTGTCTGTAACCCTTCTGCCTTAGTGATAACTTCTGGATTTCCCCCAGGCTGTCAGATTTCTTTTTCACTCTGTTCCCTTCTGTACCTCACTGCTCAATTTCTGTTATCCCTGTCTAGCCTCCCTTCCAATATGTCCTTGATTCCAAGAGACACATTTTCCTGTACCTAATATCTTTGCAGTTGGCACATGTCTTGTCACTGAGATCTCCATTTAATGTGGTGGGACTGTTGAAACCTATGCTGTACTTTTGGAATTGATAGAGACCAAGAATGGAAGGACTATGATAACTCATGCCTTTACTCAACTCGTCAATTACCTGTAATAAATTTTAGGCATTCCACTAGATGCTGGGAATCTAGAAATAACTAGTGTTAGCTCTTGAGGTCACTGTCTAGAGCAGGGCACATGGACAACACAAACCCACAGCCTGAGCTCCCTGTGACAAGGGTTCTGGAGCTGAGGAATCCTGACTGTGTGGAGGAACAGAGGAAGGAGCAAGGGGAAGCAGCAGAGGCTGGGACTGCCTTGAGGAAAGGAGGGAGGCTGGGAACGGAGAGTGGGCTAGGAGTAGATTGGGAAATGGTATTCCAGACAAATGCATAGTTGGAGCAAGCAAAGCTTCATAATCCTGGGAAAGGAGGGTGTGCTTGGGGCCTCAAAGTGTTCCTTGTGGCCAGAGTGGACAGTGTGCGTGGAGACAGAGTAGCAGAATGACCTTGCAGATAGATGGGCAGACATGGGGGACCTTGGGTGCCATGTCAGCAAGTTCAATCTCTAGCCTGAGTCCAAAAGTGAATCATTAAGGGGTTGTCTGGAGGACAGTGTGCTTCCATGTGTATTTAGGAACTCCATGGAGGAAGCAGATGGGAAGAGGGGAGTGGGGTAGTGTGGGACGAGGTGGGTGGGGTGACAGCTATTGGAAGAAGCAGGGTTATGCTGAAGGATGCAGAATACCTTGTTTTCCTTCACTATTCCAAGATAGGTGCACCTGACCACGGAGGCTTGAGTAAGACCACACACACAGTGGTGCAGAGGGGCTTCTAGAAGTAGCACTCACAGCTACAAGCGACTCTGCCCTTTCCTGAACCCCGTGATGCATGTCCTTGTCTCAGAGAGGCACGTGGTCAGTGTTAGGCAGGCTGACCTAAGAGTGGGTGCTTGGAAAAGCTACGAGACGAAGAAAAGCTTACTGTTTGCCTTCACTTGTTAAAGAAGTGTTGTCTGAAACCTATAGTGCTGATACTCTAACTTGTACTTGCCAAATGAAGCTCACTGATCAGGATCTTTTAATAATCAGATGAGAGTGTGTACCAGCACTTGGGGAAAAAGTACTGATGTTGATGGGCACTAACACAGGAAAAACACAAGGGACGTCTCTCAGGATGGTGGCAGATGTTCAGCGTTAAGACAGAAGCAGATAAATTGCTGAGGGTGTGCGTGCATGGCACACAGCTAACATGTCCTTGGTGCTGTCGGCTGATGGGTCCACCTGAGAGAACACTCTGGGGACAGAGGTAGGAGTGAGACGTGGACAGAATTCTTCCCGCACTGTATGGGCAGCATGCCCATGCTTGGACAGAGGTGGGACATGACTCTTGATATTGACCCAAAGACTTATGGTTCTCTTCTCGTCCCAATTCCCTGAACAGGTGCAGTGCCACACTTACACAGGCTACTGCTGGTGTGTCACCCCGGATGGGAAGCCCATCAGTGGCTCGTCTGTGCAGAACAAAACTCCTGTATGTTCAGGTACCGTAGAGAGGGCGGGAAGAATGGAAAGGGTTGGAGAGAGACCTCCTGCATGGTCTCCTGCATCTTTCGGGGGCACCTCCGAAAGGTTATTGGTGGTTTTAAGCCCGTTCTCAGGTCAGGTTGGACCCTGACACACCTGCCCCGTGGTCAGCTGGGTGATGAGGATCAGTATATGCCTGTGTACAGGTATTTATTACTTCTGAGTGTAGATTTCTGGTTTGATGCTCTTTGTCTAAGTATTGGCTATCACCTCTGGAGCTGGGATGACAGACATGTCTTCAGCTTGTCTGCTGACTCATTGCTACTGACCCTTGAAGCACTTTACCGAGATGGATTTTGAGACCACCCAGGAGTTCAGCATTGAAGGTTGTAGTGATCAATTAGTGATGTCTGTCCTGGGTACAAGAAAGGAGGGTGGTGGCCCGTGTGCAGCCCTTTCACAGTGTTACATAGACTCATGGACAGCTTTTGTAGCCGCAGCCTTTACATCTGCCTGAGCATCAACAGTGCCTGGGGAAATGGGAAGCCCCTTAGGCTGAAGATCCATCCTCCTTCTCTGTTCCGATCCAGCAGGTCTAGAGTAGACCTGAGGTCCTTATTTGATGACACTTTGCAGATGACAAGACGAGTAGGAAATCACTGCTCTAGTGACCCATTCATTGGGTTAGTCCACAGCAAAAATTAACCCCTTTCTATTGCCAGCTTCATAAACACAGAGAAGTGTTGGTCCAGGGTCAGATTCTCCAGCTTGTGAATTACGGATTTACACAAGCTCCACACTTCCCTTACACTCGGAGGGTTAGGGACTCTCCAACTGCTCCTGGTAGCCGCCGTGGCTCAGCCCCCATTCAGAAGAACCTGTCTTGCTCTGTACTTCTCCACATCTGTGTATCTTCAGATTTTGTTTACTTACTTATTTTTAATTTTAAGTGCAAATCAAGTCTAAAACATGATGCTAAATCTTATGGGGAAGTTCTGAAATCTAGCAGTCTTGCTACAGTAACTTTTTCCTTTCTTAAGGAAATTAAGCTATGTGAAAGGAAGAGTGGAAAGGGCAGTAAGAATCTCCATCAGGAAACCCAATTTGCAGGTCACAAAGGGAAGTTTACTTTATTTGTAGTTTACATGGAAATTGGAAACCTTAATTGGGGTTGGAGTGAGGAGGGGCAGGAATTAGCCCTCCTTACAAATGACCTGGAAAGTTTCATTTCAAGCAAACAAATGCACTAGAAACAAGCCATGCAGGGTAATATAATTGAATTCTCACAGAACCGCTAGTGGATGGAGACAGGGTGTGACATGGAAATATGGATTCCTCCTTTTATTTTGTTGGTGGACCCTCTGCAGGTGCCCTTCTGTGGATGAACTGACTTTGCCCTGCTTGTGTGAGGCTGAGATTCATGGGGAAGACAGGTGCCACAGGGTCAGGCCCAGAGGATGGGGGACACATGGCATCCCAGTATTTGCAGGGCAAATGTTTGGCCAAACACACATGCTGCTCACTTCTTGAGGAACAGGCTGTGTCTAGAAAATTGCTTCCATGCCTCAGACTGTTTTTGCCCATTCAGTACAATTGGGCCAACAATTTTCTACTTAATGTAGATGGAAAATCGCCGATTTCCTGCCCTGACCAAGGGACGTCAATCATTGCATTTGCAGTAAGAGGGGGTTTCTTTGCAGTTGGCCCTGCTGACTGGACATGGCTCAGAACATGGACTTGGTGAGAAGAGGGGGAAATGGGGCAGTGGAGGCGAGGGGAAGATATTGGAATGTTCAACAAGGGAGTTATGTAGATGTATAATTTTGAAAAAAAATCTGGTCCAGACCATTGCTAAGAAACTTGGAAATCACAGTTCGTCTCAACAGTGCTGGGTTATCAGTGACATTGATGTTAAACAAACCCCACTCGGCAGGGATGTATGTACTAACTTTGTATATAATATCCCCCAGTGTGTATACAATACATATATACATGACCATATGCTCATAACCTCAGGCTCTGCCAACTCTTTGAAAGAAACCAACCACGATTCATTCTAAATGGCTATGTTTTTGTTTCCCCTCTCATCCAAGGTTCAGTCACCGACAAGCCCTTGAACCAGGGTAACTCAGGAAGGAAAGGTGAGTGGAGTTTTATGCTTTATCTAAATGTTTGCGTCCAAAGCCAGTGCAAGCAGGAGTTCTTGGACAAGAGAGGAGCCTGGGGTGCAAGCTACAGTGCTCTGCAGAAGGTCTTCTCCATTCTTACTCTGTGGTTTCCTCCCAGAAGCATCGGAGGTAAGCAAGGCTCGTGTGGTGGTGGAGACTCAGCCCCCAGAATTTAGAAGGGAGGTAGGGAGAGTGTAGACTGTGAAACTGGCAGAGCCTTTGTGTGAGCCCTGAGAATCTTGACTCCTTGGAGGAGTTTGGTCAATCAGCTACAAAGGGAGCCAGCCTATAAGCAGAGAGGATGATGAAGGTAGGGGTCAACTCTTGGGTCTCTTGGTTCATAAACCCACTTGAGTATCCTCCCACTCCCTGCCGACTCTCTTTAATAGTTGCTCCAGCAGCCCCGGATTGTCTTCACTAAGATTAGATTGGCTTCCTGAGCAAGCGACCAGTCCAGTTGTTGTTCTGCTTTTGCTTTGTGTCGGATGCAACAGTGAAGCATGCAACTGTGAGAGCAGGGGGTGCCACCCAGACTCCTCACCTCATTAACATGCAGCTTTTGTGATGTGTGCCTTGTGATTTCCGTAGCCTGCTTATAATCCTAATTTTTCTTTACCTCAAGCAACATTAAATAGCAAATTAAAAAAATCATAAGAAAAAGAAATTATCGAAGAGAGATAAAGGTTTTAGATTTTAGTGCCTGAACAGTAGGTTACTCCTGCTTTTTGAACAAAGAGCCCTATGTTTTTGTTTTACACTGGGCCCCCAGAATTGTGGAGCTGGCATATGTCTGAGTGCTATTTAATGGACAAGCCAACATAAGCAATAGGTCCCTGGGATATGCTGTCCACAATTTCCGGTGTGGAAGAGAGTCTGAAGCCTCAGATTCACTGCTGCTTCCCTCTGGGACAGCATACACAGAGAACTGAGTGGAGGTTTCAATTCCATTGCATGTGCAAGCACTCCTGACTCCCATCCCAGACTGAGCATGAGGCTTCCCACCACATCTAGGCTTTGGAACTACGTGCTCATCTCTCTGTGATGTGGAAAGTTGGGTCCAGGGTCTGCTCAGGGTCACTGTGAACTTTGCAGACTTCCTGGGAGACCAAGACCAAGGCCAGGCCCTGGACCCTGCCCTGGTGCTTATGTCATGGGGACAGAAAGAAAAGAAAAAGTTGCCTGCTCCAACTACAGGAGATAAGAATCCAGAGAACCTGATGCTCCAAGATGCAGGTGCTCTGAGATGTGGAAGTAGATCATGGTGATGCCATCACCCAACTAGGAAACGTGGAGCAATGGACCAGACAGCCTGCCCGCTTCCCTGGGTGGGAGTGAGTGAGTCCAAAGAAGGGAGGGCGTGTTTTTCCAGACCCTTTTGGGAGGGTAAGGGGAGAGCCACGAGTGCTGGTGGTTGCCTCCCCGATAAAAGTGGGGAGAGGAACACGAAGGCCTCTCTCTGCAAAGACTTGAAGTCCTCAACCCTGTGAATGCTGTGTGTCCATTCGGGTGAGGAAAAGGAGTCACCTTCAGGTTTGCTTGTGGCCACAGAAATCTCCAGAACCATCACCTTTGTTCATGGGTGTAGGAAAAGCACATTGGAACTCACGTGCAGTTGACCGCTTAGATTTTCCCCAACAGGAGCAGAGTGTAGGCTGCTGAATGAAGCAGGCGACTCAGGAAGGCCCTGCAGTGGATTTCGGCTCTTAAGCTGGACAGAGAAGTGCTTTCAGGTTGATGTGATTTTGTATCCTGTAGATAACAGTGAAGGACAAACCTGCGGTTATCTGGGGTCTCATAGACCCAGCTGGAAGAGGGCGGGTGAGCCGGGACCGTCAGCTCACAATGAACAGCAGTGAGCACCCTGTGCTCCTTTCTAGTTCTAGGGTTAGCTGGCAGAGCAGTGAGAGGGCAGAGGAGCCTGCTTCCTCTGGGGGAGGGTGCTGGGGGGGGGTGATGCAGGGGCTAGAAGGGGAAACCTCCTCTCTGAGGCATGACTTGCTGTCAGCTCCCTGCTCTTTGTTCCCCAACTTGGGATGGGTCCCCTCACCCCGATGGTCCTTCAAGGGCTTCCTCTTTGGTGCAAAGTTTGGGACAAGGCCTGAGGGTGGGGCTGAGGGCCGTGCTGGTGCTCAGTCTGTCCTGGAGGCTTGAATGCTGCCCCTTGGTGTCTCTTTCCTTCTACTTTGAAGGATCAAATTAGGTGCTGGATACTCTTCTCTTTGTCTGCCATGGGCAGTGCAGTGAAGAGCAGATTGGGGCCACCTGTAGAAAGGGCTACCTGAAGCCACACCTGCCCAGGAAACGGGGGTTTGAATCGGGACAGGGTGCGAGAGGGCATTCGTAATATCCTGTGTCGACCCGCCACCAGGTTCCTCTTTCAGCCGCCACTTAAGAAAGGAATGTGCTCTGCAGGGCAGCAGGTGGGAAGACACAAAGGCCCCTTGTCTGAGCTCAGCCCACACGTGGGCTGTCCTGGAAGGCATCTCCCTAGGGCTGCAGCGCATAGCCCTGAGGCCTGCCACAAAGAAGTGCTAGGCCTGGGCCCTTGTGCGGGCTGAGGCTGGTGGTCTGGGCATGTGAGCGGTGGTGGGGACAGCGGGTGAGGACCAGATTTTTTTTTCTCTGCCCCCTCTCCCCCGCCCCTTGCCTATTTGAATATGCCCCACGACAAGGCTGGGCAGTGTTGGGGGGGTGGTGGTGGAAACAGTTCTCTGCCTGGAAGGAATGAAAAGACGCATTGTGTGACCACAGAGTCTGGGTGCTGGCCAGGAACTGGTCCTCCAAAGGAGAGGAGAAAGTCAGAGTGTTTGGAGGCTGGGGGAGGAGGCCCAGGGAGATAGCAGGAGAAAGGGAGGTGGGAGGGAGGCCAGGTGCGCGCAGGTCACAGCCGTTTGGCCTGAGGACCGGAGGCCTGGGTGGCTTCGGTGCCTGGGTCCACAGGTGTGGGGCCCAAATGAAGTGGGGGAGGAGGAGGGAGGCACTGTCATCTTACCCACACGCACGTGCTCCGTGGGGGGAGGGGCATCACAACTTAAGACTGTTTACCTAATCCCTTGGGATGTCCTTTCCTCGCTCTGTTCTTTGGGCCCCTTGTGTTTAACGGACTCCTTTATGGGCACATGTGTGGTCATTAACACGTGCAGTGTAGGTCCCAGGCCATGTGTTTGAGTTTCAAATATCCATTGATCTGGCGCAATCGCATCCTGGCTGCCCCCTCCCCTTTGGTCCTTGCCCTAGGAGTGAGATGGAAGGGGCGCGTGTGCTTCAGAGGTGGTGCACACGTGCACTCGTATGTGTTTTATTGATGCCACAGAGGAGAATCTGCAGAGGGAGAGGGCCTCCGGCAGCCCCTGTGACTCTGAAAACCTGCCGCAGAGGCTGCGAGAGATTGGTGCTTTGGTTTTCCCTGAAGTAGCCCCGAAGGAAAGTGATTGCAGAGATTGCGAACTTGCCCCGTGCAGATTTACCTGGTCATCCCCAGGCCCGTGGACTTTTCTGCAGCGCCTCTTTGCAGGGTCTGGATGCTAGTTACTGTCGGTGATTGGAGGGGCTTCTGGAGTAACTGAAAGTCCGGGGCTGGCCCTCATCGCTATGCGTGACGTTCGCAGGCTCAGGGGTGGGGGAGTGCAGCACCCCGGCGTCACAGAGGGCTGTGCTGGAGGGAAGAAGGATTGAATGAGGGTGTGTGGGGTCGCACTTGGAAGATCTCTGGCTGTCCCCTGGGAGCTTTGTCTTCTGAGTGCTCAGGCGCTCAGAGGCTCTGGGGCGATGCTGTAACAGACGGCAAGTGGACCTTTAGGGTCATCAGAAGTTTGCTGTTTTTCTGTAAGAGTTGGTTGTTTCAGGAAAGTGAGAGAAAAATAAAGGCATTAACACATCCTGCCTTCGTTTCCTGCATGACGACTGTGTTTGTCAAGCCAGTCTTGGAGACAGGCAGAATTTCCAGAATCCAACTCACCTTCGATTGCAAAGGCTTTTTAATTTTTTAATCCCCTCCACCCCGGTCCCATATATAAGCGCTCCAAGTCGAAAGTGAGGCACACGTGTTTCTCCAGGGTCCCCCTCCTCCACATCTGTGTCCCAATTTCTAGAATCTCTCATGGAGCCTGGTCTTCAGGTGGCTGTCAGCTTGGAGACTGTGTCACTCAGGTGGTGGATCAGACAGCACTGAGCTTTGGCTTGGCGGTTGTCGCAGATGAAGGGACAGGGAGAGCTCCAGCCTCAGCGCTCCTGGGAACTTAGCACGACTTCGGTGCCCTGAGCTTGGCTGAGGGGTGCCAGGCTGCCTTTCGGGGTACATCCTGCATGGGAATGACTTCAAACTCTTCCCAGTTATTCCACTTCCTCTTTCCCTATCATGGAGGTGGAGGCTGGACCAGAAGTTGGATCTTTCGGCACTGCACCTTTCGCATGGCAAAGGTCTGATGACGTCCCAGCCTGGGCTGGGTTTGGATGGAGTCGGTATTGACCTCTACTCCCATGGCTCTTCCTTGGTGGAGAAGCGTTCCCTGGAGACTGTGTCAGCTGCAATGGAGCTGTGGGCTGGCAGCATGCATCTTGCTGCTGCTGTCTCATGTGCTGAGCCGTCTTGACTGTGTCTGGCATGTCAGTGCTCCGGCATCATGGGGGGCACCTTCGGGAAGGGCTGTGCTAGAGTCCCGGGCCCACATGATGTGTCCCTCCTTCCACAGCTAACGGCTCCTGCAGCGTGGTTCCCCCCTCCACCCCGCTCCCATGTCAGCACTTATTCTAGGTCTCTGAAAGGAAGTTTATGCATGAAGAGTGCAAAACTAAGAGTTTGAATCCTTGCCATATCCCCATCTCTGAGGCCTGGAGAGCAAACGGGATTTAAGGATTTAAGGAAACACTTCTTAGCCATAGATTCATTTGCGTCTCTGGTGGTATTTGTAACCACTGGCATTTATATTTGGTGTATATATGAGGGAACTTTAAAAAGTTCATAGAAAAATGGA